GCTCCGACACGTTCGTTGTACAGACCAAAGTTCTTGCTGAAGCTGCTACAAATCAGCATCTCTTGGCCAGGACGTGCCAACTCGCGAAGGCCGGCCGCATCTTCGCTCAAACCGTCGCCGAAGCCTTGGTAAGCGAAGTCCAGCAGCGGCAGCAGTTCCTTTTCCTGAACCAAATCGGCGATCGCTTTCCACTGCTCCGGCGTCGGATCGATCCCCGTTGGGTTATGGCAGCAACCATGCAGCAGAACGACGTCCCCTTTGCTGGCTTCCTTCAACGAGCTGATCATGCCGTCGAAGTCGAGCCCGTTGGCGGCTTTGTCGAAGTAGGCGTACGTCTTCAGCGGAACGCCGGCTGCGGTGAAGATGTTAGGGTGGTTCGGCCAAGTGGGCTGGCTGAGCCAGATTGCGGCGCCAGGAAAATTGGCTGCGATAAAATCGCCTGCGACACGCAGTGCTCCGGTACCCCCAGGCGTTTGCACGGTGACGGCGCGATTTGCGGTAATCACTTCATGATCGGCGCCGAACATCAACTCGCGAACCGCTTTGGTGTAGCCGGCGCGGCCATCGATTGGCAGATAGCTCTTGGTGCTTTCCGTTTCCAGCAACCGTTTTTCCGCTTCTTTGACGCACGTCAGAACCGGCGTCACCCCCTGCTCGTCTTTGTAAACACCAACGCTCAGGTTGATCTTTTCAGGGTTCGAATCGTTGCGGAAGGCTTCGTTGAGACCCAGAATTGCGTCCGGGGGAGCCGTTTCGACGTGCTGGAACATACACTTCCAATGGGTAAGAGGGTCTTGGGAACGTCTGCACTGGGGAACCGCGGAAGACATCAAGCCGAACCGATCCGATTCAGGCCGTCTCCGAGATCACGTTTCCTGACACAGACGTTAATCGTTGGACAAACGCATTCATTTTACGAGATGCACGGCCGGTCTAATAGTTCGCTGACGCGGCTGAAAAGTACCAAACTGAGAAAAATGACACATATTCTTGCGGCTCAGCCCTGGGGGATGGGTGAATTCGCCGCCCAAACCGA